GTTGATGATTACTTCCCTTTGTATGTGGTCCACTCAGGCTCCATGGGGATATGTCTGTTTCCATATGTAGCTGTTTGGTGGATCATTTCAGTTTTTACACAAAGCTTTTCTCTTCACCTCTCTTTTCTTCCTTCTCTGTCTTCTTTTCTTTTTCCTTCTGATCCTCAGTGTTCTGCACCTTGAGGCTGCAATATTTTGGAGAAGAGAACCATTAGAAAGATATTTTGCCTTTCTTCAGAATTTTATTTTTGCCTTTTTGTTCTTCTTTCTTCTCCCAAACACTATCTAGTGGTTTCTCAGTTCAAGATGGATGGGTTTCTACTTCTACTGCTCTCTTTCCTATGAACTATAGATGATGAAGATCAATGTCTTGAATGCCTTTCTGTGTATTCTGATTGCCCAGTTCTCAAAATGTTTTCATTAATTTGTTCCAAAGTATCAGGTTTACCAGATTTGAGCTTTACTCTTTTGCATTGCTTTTGCTCCAATGATTTTCCTTAAGCATTTGCTTGCCACATATAATCTTGATCTTCATTTACATTATTAATTGGATGATTGTCTCCTCCTCGCCTCTTCTTGGGAAGCTTTTTTCTTGGCCACATCACATCTCCTTCAAGAAGCTTCTTGTCTGGAGTGACTGGTCAAACCTTCCAAATCATTCTTCTCTTGGATCAAAAACTTGGTCCACCTTGGGACGTTTTCTGTTCTCAGCTCCATCAGGCTCAGTGTTCCCCTATTCATTTGTGAGAGATGGAGCATCTAGTCACCTCAGCTCTTGCCTCTCCTGTACTTCCTGAGTTTCAATTGCTTTTGGAGACTTTGCATCACTTGAACATTTTGTCCCTTAACACCACTCTAACCTGAGGTTTCTTCAATAGACTATGAGTAACCAATGAAGTATCTCTCATGGACTTCTGCCCTTTCTTGTAATGTTGTTGCCTTATCTTCTTGAGGATCTTTCTTGGTAGCTGGATCTTGCCAACACTACAGTTGGCATTCCACAGTCTCCCCCTGTATGAATCTTCATCTCTTCACTGATGAGCCTTTGGATTACTTCACAGCTTCAGGAGCATATTTTCCACATGAATGTTCTGGAACATTTGGTTTTGATTCATTTAGACATTCTATAGTCATTTCCCATATCAGTCATCAGGTTGGGACTTGCCCTAGGCACTGTTGCTTCCACACATTGGACTTTCTGTTTTGGGTCCTTTCACACTAGGTTTGTTTATCCATTTGTGATGTTCTGGGGGCTTTGAACTTAGTGACAGATGATCTTTCTTGACTAGATAAGATTCTTCCTATGAAATGGTCACTCCATTCTCAGGTCCTTTGTTGGATCTGTTATCAGTTGGGTATGTCAGTGAGGTCCAAAAAACATGACCAATGGAAAAAGACTCGAGAAATCCCACATGTGAACACAAAGTGGTAACAGTTCCATGTGAAAGAGACATATGACATTGTAGGTAATAGTACGCATACAGAAAGATTGAAGCTAGTCTTTGTTGAGATCATTCTCAGCCAGAACAACTTGGTGAGGTACCAGGGACCAGAAGACAAGAGGTTTGTTATTGAGAGTAGTTGCAAAGGCATCGAATGTAGTCCTTCCTTTATCCTTGTATGTTATCCATCTGCCACTCTATTCCACCAGGTTGTCTTACTGTTTCCCACCTTTTGTCCATATTTGCCTGGTTGTTCAATCAAGAATTGTCAACTTATACAATAGCAGGCTATCAGGTAACCTTGTTGACTACCTTTCCACTTTTTCACTATAGTTTTGTCTTTTCTTCCCTGATCTTTTCACCTTGTTATTGTCAATCTTTATTCATTGTCCCTGTTATCAGAATTTCTCAGCCTCACTGGAACGTCAATATGTTTGTACATGCTCTTACCAAGGTCCTGTTTAACCCATTGGCCACTAGCTTATTATACTATTTCTCTCTTAAAATCTATTTCCTTCTACTTCTTGCTTGTGGTCATTGCATATTTGTTTATTCATTTGATGCCTCCTGTACTTTTTATCACAGATATGCTGTGACTGCTAGTTTCTTTCTAAGACTTGGATGGCCTGGGAAGGTGATTGTTCCTTCTCTTCCATCACTCTTAGTCCTCTATGATCATATTGATCACAACCATCTTTTGTGTTTAGTTTGAGCAGTAAGGTGTTACTTGATGTACACAGCTCTATTTCAGGGTTCACACAATCATTTATTTTTGCCATGGAGCCCCCTCTTCGTCCAGGGATCTCTTGTCCTTTACACTTACTAGGTAGATTTATCAACTCATTTGAATAGTATATTCGTCCTGAATGACCATGCTTTCAGGCTGTATCATGCCTCATCACATCAAATCTGTCACTGGACAATGAACCTTGGACAAGATCCCACAGACTGAAGTGTGGACTGCACTCATCACCTTTGTATCCCATTAACTCCACCATCTATTAGTTTCATTTACTTTAGAATATCATCTACATCCAGTCACCATTCTCCAGTCTACTCACAGTTTGATGGGTAAATGCCTCTTTTACATCCTTACCCATTTATACTCTTATATGATTCACTTCTGGAAACCCACCTAGTGGCAGGTGTTGCTTCACAGGGTATAATTACTTCCCTAAATCCACATCGAGTCAAGGGTGATGGAAAATATTAAACCCACCTTTCCTGGCTCCAACTGTGTCCACTTTTGAGATTGGGTTTTCTGCAAGACCACTATATATATATATCTTTCATTGTCCATTCCATACTGTACTTTCCATTGAATAACATGGAAAAAGTAAGCACAGGGAGAATGTCTGCCTACATCCTTGGCTCGCATATGTAGACTTTTCAAATTAGGTTTTACATTTATCTTTTTCCAGTAAGAGACTTTTGCAATAGTTAGGTTTGATCAGATCTGGATACCTCACCTTTTTCTTCCCAATGTGAATTTATCTACCCTTTGCCAATTCCAGTTCTAAGCCACTTGAGTGGTTGACTTGGATAGTTTCTCAGGACTGTGCTATCTTTCTAGAGTTGGAAGCAGCAGAGTGTAATGGGAAGTATGGCTGGGATATCCTTGTCAATGTAGTGCAGGCCATCCCTTCTTATTTGATATGCCAATTTCCTAGTGACTTGGCCAGTTGGAAGAGAAAGGATGTTTTACTTCTACAACAGGAAGGAACATGTGTGTAGATGACACAGCAAAACACATACCAAACTGTACAGTCTGATTAATGTCCTTAGCCATGCTACATCTCACAACCAACTGACTGGTTGCAGGCAAATGTTTGATTGGTCATGCACTTTTCCACTCATCCCTGCAACACATTTGCATTTTGCCTTCCTCCTTTCATCCATCCATCTGGGTGAAGAGTATACCCTGCATGAGATGGATGCAGTTTTCCACAAACGTTAACCCTCTAGTAAGTCCCCACTATTGGGTGTTACATTCCATGGGCTTTCTTTCTCAGTTGCCTTCTCTAAAAGGAGCTCTTCTAGGTTTTTGCAATTGCACTGGCCCCTCTACCACATCAACATGAGATTCTAGCTACTTTTTGCAGAGAGGTAAGGATATCATTTCAGAAGTTAACATTTTTCTTACCTGAAAGTGTATTTTTGAAAGATACCTCTTTGCACAGTCCCCACTACCAGTGCACATGTCTTGCCTCATCTAAGAATGAAGTTAATATTGACTTTTTATAGGGATGTACTGTGCATGGAGAATGTGTTGTCCTCTTATTGTCACATTATGATTACATCACACATTAGTACAGTTCACATTAAAATACATGTCTTAGGTGGGAGATAGATCAAGGCTAGACACATGAGGAATAGATACTGTGTGTAGAGAGGTATCTATCAGATATAAATTTTCAGGTAAGGAAAATGTTAACATTAGATAACTAGAATATTGGTTCTGCAATGAAAATATAACAATCTTACATGTTATACAAACAAAATGTTAAACATACTAAGAGGTGTGTCTTACACTACTGATCACATATATCTATACTCTGTCTCTTAAAATAAATGAACCAGGCAACAGGAAGCAATAAATATAGTTAAACCTTCCGTAAAAACCAAAATTTAAATCCAATAAGCTTCAAAATAGGTCATTAGTAATAAGAGTTAGAAAAGAAAGTTACAACACTTATATATATATATGGCAATGTAATTAGCAAAAATTAGTGTAACTTAATTAATGATGTAATATCATATTGTATACAGAATATTTTACATTAATTGCAGGAAAAAGCAAGTGGTGGTCAAAACACTTATTATGTTAAGCAATTTCCAAAAGAATGAAAGTTTTAAAAGGTCACGATATTCTGTAAACCTCCTATTAGTAGCAAACATATTTTGAATTTTTCTCATAACTGAATGTATTTTAGTTTGTGCAGTGTAAAGGGATGCATCATGTTTTAAAACAAGGGTGATTTGTAAGGAACAGTATTGTATTATTAATATGAATAAATCTAATGAACAGTGCCAGAAAAAATAACAAAGGGTTATCACATTTGGATGTAAGTTGTTAAAATTAAAGTGGTATTGAAAATCTGTAATTATGTACATGTAAAATGTAGCTTTACTGAAATTTGTACACGTATAGCAGTGGCATGGAAGTTGTGCATTGCATGACCAGTCAGGAAACTAAAAATGTAATAATAACATTATACAATGAAATGTATCTTACATTTGTTATTATTATCTACAGTTTGTTTATTGTGTTTCTTTGCAAGGCAGCAGCATTCTAATCTGATGTCGCAAGAGCCCTGTACGTCTAACCTTAATCATGTCATGCTATGCAAATTCTGCATGCCTAACCTTGCACTTCAAGCAGTATTCTGTTTTCTGGAGTGATGTCACTGCAACCTCTTATTAAAACCATGCAAGTCATGCTGCATTAAAATACCATGATAGCTAGTACATGTGCATAAGTTCAATGTCAACATCATATAGGTCACCCATGCATTGCTTTGCTTAATTTTGTGATTTATTTTTTTCATTTTATCACAGTAAAGAAAAGGTGTCAGCTGGCTATAATCTATTATATAGGTGAGTAAGCCTGTTCCTTGTATGTTTTTTATATTCTGGAGATATATTACATTAATAAGTTATTACTGCATGGCCTAATTGAAAACCCTCTGCATGCCACTGTAATAAATAAATGTATGGTATAGTCATATAATATATGTGTGTGTGTGTGAGTACATATATAAAATAATAATTTATTTAGCACAGCCAGGTGGTTGGGCTGCTTGAACTCACAATCTGCAGGTCGTGAGTTCAAATGTCTGTCCCACCAAACACAAACACACACCCTTTCAGCCATAGAGGCATTATATTCATTGGCAAAAGAGTAGCCCAAGAATTGGGTGTTGTTGACTAGCTGCCTTCCCTCTAGTCTTTCACTGCTAAATTATGGATGGCTAGTGCAGTTAGCCCTTGTGTAGCTTTGCACAAAATTCAAGCAAAAGCAATCCTAATTTCTTAATATACATATGTGTATTTACAGGATTGGTTTATAATGAATTTGGTAAAATGCGGTTGTGTCATTTTGTAGCAAATATATCATTTTCAAATGCTCCAATATTTCAATCTTTTAATTTAATTGTATATTTTAATGTTATAGAAAACAAAAATGGATTGTAAAATGATCCTTTAGAAGAGTGCACAGCTGAAATATAAATGTAAATGTCATAGAAAATTATTTTAGTTCTATGATCAGTGTTTCTATATTATATATATATATATTATTTTTTTTTCTTATAGCTCTTATTTTGTATTTATATGATGCAGAAACCACACACAGACAACATACATATATAGTAGAGATGGTTAACCTGGTGATGACTTAAGGAGGTTGATACATTGTTATCTGTTTTGTGTTTTGAATATAAGCTTTCAATACCAAAAGCAGCAATATCTGATATATATATATATATATATATATTTACTTCAAGTGGGTTTTTCATCATTCTTAACATGATGATGACATGAGGAAGTCAAAACTTTCTTATTATTGCAGATTGTTGTAGATTATTATTGTGTTTTGAGTTAAGTTTTTAATACCTGTATCATCTCTACTATATATATCTAAAGCATGTTTCTCATCACTATTAAATGCAAACATTGCTTTCAAAATACATTGGCAATTGTATAATAATGAAATTTAATATTTTCTTTTTTTTTGTATGGGAAAGTTGAATAAATGCTTTTGTAATGAAAAAGGTGAAACTTTCAAATTTCTAAGGTATATATTACTTTACACAGAGTTGCTTTTTGAAATAAAATAATTATTACTTAACTGGTTTACTTGCAGAAAAAGGATACAACTTGTAATGATAACTAAATCCCAAGTTTTTCTCTTGTTATGTAAATTTTTATGGTTTTTTTGCTAGATGGGTGAGAAATTACAAAGAACAGTATATTCAGCAAGAAAACAACAACCAAGAAGTATTTTAAAGTTCTGAACAAATGAGTGTTGAAAATAGACACATTAGCTTGTATTCTCTGTGATTGTCAAAAACTTCAGAAAAGGATAAATCAATCTGAGAAATGAACAGATCTGTAAATGTGGTTATAAAATCAATAATTCCAAAAAGCTTAAATTAAAATTTTGCAATAGATAAAATATTCAATAAAGATTTTCTATAATGATTTCAATAATTTATATGTTAATTAACTTGATTATGAAATGAATTTTTGGTAATGAATCACCTGTACTTAATTATCCATTCCTAATTAACCATCATACTTTATTGTAATTAGTCATAATTCATTTATTATTGTTGTTGGTTTAGAAAAATCATTAGATGTTTGCCAAATTGATTTTTTACTGTGATATATCATGCAATTTCACTCAGTAAAAGTTAACAGATGATTTTAAGCTTAATTGAAGTAAGCAAGCTGTTATTTTTCAGTGATAGCTGTGATTATAAGTGCTTAAGTTCTTTTTTTTTTTATAAATTATGGTTTAAGGAAAAGTTACTTTTGTAAGTTCTGTTCAAACAATGTCTATTTAATCTTATGGAAAATACATTCAAGACTGTGATTTTTCTTTGTATGCCAATAATTTATTGAGATAGTATGTTTAGGCTTTATGGTTCTACTTATTGAGGGTTGTTTGTTTTTGTTCCCTTTACTTAACATAATGTTTAGGGACAACAAGGGACCTATTTGTCCATTTCAGCTGCCCCATCCTCTAAACTAAATTAAAACTATTAAATACGTAAATAAAAAAATATAAAACCTTGCCAAAATTTATATTTATGTCCTTTAGTCCTACTGTTTTTACCATTAAGTGTGAAAAAAGATGATGCATCAACACTGTCAATTCCCTTTACAATCTTAAACAACTCAATCAGATCCCATCTATCTCTTCTTTTTTTCAAGAGAAAACACTTTCATAGATCTTAATCTCTCCTCATATGAAAACCCATCCCAGATATCATTCTTGTAATCCTCCTCTGAACCCTTTCCAAAAATTCAACGTTTTTCCTAAGGTAAGAAGCCCAAGACTGAACACAATATTCCAAATGTGGCTTAACCAATGACCTGTATAATAAAATTATAACCTCTGCAGACTTGTATT